AAAAAAAAAAAAAAAACAAATACTTTGACGATTTTTACTAGCTAGTCGTTTCAATGGTCAAACTAGACCAATATTGGGCTACGTTTTCAAAGCCGTTAACGCGCGTCGCCAGTCTGCTTGTTTGAAGAGTTCTCAAAGCGTAAATTATTCCTGCGCGCTATTAACGTAATGATACATCTCCTTTAATGACAACCGTTGCCGCCGTCCATCCCAACGAATGAACACACTTTTTCCACACTTCGACTATGCGGACAATTTTGTTGAAATGAGCACGTAATACCTGGTAGGGAAATTGACGCAGAGGTAAATTAATACCGGAATAAATTGATACCGTGAAATTATCTAAACACTGGCCATATGAAGTTTGATTAGCACGAGATGCGTGAAATTCATTGTTTAACTGTTTATTATGACAGAGTGCATGTAACACCACCGAGTACCCGTTAGCATCCGTTATTCAATTATTTCCGGCTTCATAGAGGAGAAGTAAAATATTCGTCGATTCCTCCATGTCTGGGGACGACATGTAAAATTTCATATCCTGAATTGGTTTGATATCTCGTTGAATAGTTTCAAGATAAGGTAATTACATTTCGTACACATCCGCTCTAAATTTTTTGCATAGAAACAATTTTACGTGAAGGAAACTTTACATGAAGTAAGTTGATACAATGTATGGATTCTTGGTGTGCAACAATTCTTAATTATGCATTAATTGTTACAAATTTCGACAAAGTAATTCATTTTTTATTGTCCATTCTGTGAACTAAATTCTCTGTTCAACTTTAATTGTACTATAATAGAACAAGATAATGAGAATAATATATTTTAGATAATTGCATAATTATGTGAAATATGTTTCACATACACATGTATCAATGCCTCTCCAATAGTGTAACATTTTAATGTCGCCGAATAAATATTTTCCAACTTGCTTCATACATTTCTTTCTCAAAGTATCTCTCAGGAACGTCTGTTAGAATATTCTTTTATGAGAATGGGGGAGGGGGGAAGGTACCAAAGTACTGTAAGTTAATTAATTCAAACTTCGAAATAATTGCTAAAATTAAAAACTGGAGAACTTGTCAACTTGTCCCAGTTTCCTCTACGTGGTTGTATCGTCTTGTAACAACCGCTTTGGCGGTTCAAGAGCTTCCACATTACACGTTATATTAACCGGAAGAACTTAGAAACTTGGGAATAACTTTACCTACGCTTAGCTGTTCCACCATCCTCCGTTTACCTTCGTCGATGGAAATTTTGGTCACCGAAGATACTGTCAAAAATATTTGCTCGTTAAAACGTGGTAGTTGTTACTGGTAACGTGGCATAATTGAGCATCCGCAGCATGGAGAGAACCACACATGGGCCAACAACCGTAGCGTGCGAGTTGAAGCGACATTAAGGAGGCGTGAAAGGCATGTAGAGGATTAAGCCGGTTTAAGGGCTCTAAGGTGGTGTTTGCACGTCGTGTTGCATAGCTGGTGGCCTGTAGCAGAAAGTGAAACACCTGCATTAAAGGTGTCGTGATTAGTAATTAGCGCGATGACGCGTAGCTAGTTTGTCAATGAGTAAAGAATTGTGTATGCAACAACATTCGTACAAAAATGTACCATTTAGTAAACTAAAATAAATTCGTTCCTCATTGCATTAATCAGTAAACTGCATAATCTATAAACTATTGTACGTTATTTATTTGGCCAACTACATTTCAGCGTGTTTGAAAATCTTTTCAAAAGCATTGAAATATTTGAGGAAGCCTGATCGAAACCTGGAGATAATTTATCCACGATCTAAAGCAAGCTTGTCGCTTTGAAACATGTAGCATCGGCCCATTAATTCGGAGTCACTAGCAGAGCCAGGAATAATGAATGCGCACGAACGGAAAAAGGCACGGAAATACATCGAGAAAACGATGGAAAAGAGAAGGAAAATTAAAACGATACGCTCAATCAGAATCAAGGAAAGCGTTGTCCATTATTAAATTCGACTCGGTGATAACGGAATGAACAGATAATTAGATTATATAAATTATTAACTGAAAAGAACGATAAAAGTTACGTACAGTGAGTCACAAAAATTATTCGCGTAGTCGATAGTACGAAATGAAAGAACAGTGAACTATATTCTTTAAATGAGGAGATACATTTTTAAAATTTTGATATAAAAAGAAGGCGACAAAAATTTGGAAAACTTTGAATGCAGAAATTATTATTCTGAAAAAATTGATATTTCGTAAGAACACGTTTTCTTGACCAGTTTTCGCATCGATCAAATTCATCATATAAAAATACAATAAAAAGGAATTAATACTCGTTCTCTCAATATCCAACAACAACAGAATATTCCAACTTTCTTTCTTCACAACCTAAAGTACATACTTTTGAAAAAAATCTGTACTATCAACAATATTATCTTTTATAAATTCTTGTTATAGTCCCCACTGCGCGAATAATAATTTTGTGACTGTAGAAGTATTATCGGAAAGTAGTTAAAGCGAAGAAGCGCATACACAATATTGTCACGCATGTTAGCGTCGTTGATATTTGGGGCGAAATAAATAGTCTACGAATCGGTTTAACACAGTGTGTAAAATCATCGATCTTAAACACAGGCTGACACGCTGCTAATAGAAATAAATTACTTCTTCAGCTAATGGGACTGACAATACGATTTGCGTAAGGTGGAAGTGAACGAACGCTGGATCAAAGTTATAGATACGAGATTCGAAATTTATCCGATACGATTCGACATACTAACTGAGAGTAAAAATGAAATTCTCATTTCGTGAATTTCACTCTATTTAGAGAGAAACTGGACGATGTGAGTGTGAATCGAACTTACATCTGAATCAAAATAATATACCAACTGAAACAAAGCTCGAAGTTCGAATGCACGATCCCCGTTCCGCAGATAAGTCGAGATATGTAATTAGATTGCGCGTCACGTATTCTCGCAAGTCGTTACGTTTCTATGGTTTCGCAGCCTTTGTGCTCATTTGCACGCGCGGAACCACCTGGAAACTAATATCCCCAGTAACAAACTAACGATGTATGTAGATCGTAATCCCTGTGCATTGATTATCCTATCACTGTAGAATTATTTACGCAAATGTAGCTCACCCATCGGGACTACGTCGGCGTTGCCCGGAGGGGATTCGATCACGTGACACATTATTGGATAGCCACCGTGAATTTCATGTTACTGTTCGACTGAGATTTATCTCAAACCGATATAAACCGAGTACAATTAAATTTCTTTTCTTTTTAACATTCAGTTTTAACATTCGGCGCGTCTTTGCATCTACGTTTCGAGATTACGAAGAAAATCAGACGATCCGACAGACGACGTTATGTATGTAACACGATCACGTAGTTCAATTGTAGATGTAGCGTTGATTGCTCGTCACACTCTAATCACGCCAAAGTCTGGTCATGTCGTCGGGGAAAGTTTGGATTTTCGAAAACGTCGGGATTGGAGTTTGAACTTCGAAAATGTGTAGAATTTGGACGCGTTTAATCTAGAAATGTTACGGTGGAAATTGCAAGTTCGGTTAACTCAAATACAAGGAACGGTTAACGTTCGAAAATTACGCTGGAACTCTAACTTTTTAGAAACCGGTTAATTCGCCGGTGAAAAAAATGACGATGTTTGAGAAGAGTGAAGTGACTCTGAATCTGAAAGAGCTTACGATTTGAAAGAGCACACAGCGTAAATACACATGCTCGCGCGTATTGAAGAAGATTCGCGGGGGAAGTAGGAAACTCACAGCTAGTTACCTCAATTTCCGTTTCGTTTAATTGTGCTGAAACGACACGGTCGGTAGTGTTATTACAAAGGAATATATGCGATATGAAACGCAAATTATCGCGAATGGATTTACCAGTGTGTGTCATTTCCAATCGTATGATTAAGGATGTTTGATGAGTGGAGATTACCTGTCAACCGATTAATAGAATATCGAGCAGCATTTCGAGAATAACCGTATGATAGAGCGAATGGTAATTGGCTTTACAATTCGTTCAAGTGTACGACGTTAACCAAAGTTAACGTTCGTCGAACGTTACGAGTATTTTCCCTTCTCAAATGAAATGAGAAATCACTGCAATAATATAGCACCGGTAGTTAAAGTCAACACACATAACATGATTACTTTTCTTTACTCGAACAACTTTTGGCAGGTTTCCCTTTCTCGGCGCAAGTAGTCAAAGTCAGTGTATGACGATCCACAATGTCGGTATCATGCACACTAGCAACACAAAGAATAGTCACATCTCTTGCTTAGTGAAGCGAGGCAAGTAATATCGGAAATAAATATGTAATAAGCATATCGATTGAACGAGTTTAGC